GTGCCTGACAGCGAGTAGGTGTTGTGTACCGATTGCTTGTCTGGCTTCTCGTACATCTCGGTGAAATTTGCCATTGATGTCGCAAACGTTTGGAACAGTGCTATCAGGTATGTCTGTTCGAAGCGGTCAGCGTCTGTTCGTGGCGCACGACGGCGAACGCACCTGATTTGCGTTCGAGTCAACGTTCTGGAACTGGATGTTGTTGCTCGTGATGTCGAGCCTGTACATCTGACGTTGGCAGTTTGCGTTCGTGGGTCCGATGCGCGACGTGTCGTAGCCAGCGGTGTTGTTCGTTGGGTTGAAGTCCACTGCCGTCGCTGCCGTGGCCAAGCCGAGGAGGCAGAGCTGGGTTCTAGCGAGACGCATGATATTAAGAAAGAAATTAAATGGCTAGTAATGTAGCAGAAAGAGTAGGATGTGGGGATAGAGTGTGGTAAAGAGAGCAGGCCTAGGCAGCATTATATGACGGAAGAGGAGGCTGACAGGTCGTGTCCCGATCGCGAAGGCTGCCACTTCTGGGATGACGCGACGGCGAACGCGTCGCTATCTTTGAGATATTAGGGCCTGCAACTAAGAATCGAAATTCTCAGTCTAGAGCACCAGTATTTAGCACGATAAACACAGAACATGGAAATAAAAGGAGTAGATTCGAATGCTAGCACTGTCTCTTTGAGACTTTGACGTGATATCCAAGTTGCTGACGACGCATTCGCAAACGATTGCCAGGATTTCTCAGTGACGCCCCTGGCTTGTAATGGCTTGTAAACCGTGAATCTATCCTCTGCAGAGCAAGAATATGACCGTAAGAATTTATCTTGAGTAGGCGAGTGCAACTCGGTCATGGACTGGGGGGAGCGTCGTCATCTAGCGGTAAACGCCGTTTGTGGTTCGGGGGCCCGGAAGACCCCTAATACTGCCCATCCGGCCTCATTTCGATGCTGGGCTCGGATCCGACCATTTACTGCCGCAGTGTACGACAAACATCCAAGGTGGCGAGTGAATTCTATATACGGCAGTTCTACAAGTTTGTTTACGACATGTAAGTTCTAGTGTCCAATACGCTCACGGGCCCAAGAAGAAGGGGGAGGTACTATCAACGCTCGCCAGTGTATTGCAAGCAGCCCAAAAGAATGACTTAGGGAGGTAAGCATAGCGTACATACGGGTAGCCTGAGGGGGCGATTAGTGTACGGGAGGTGGGGAAGTGTTCTCCCAAAGCAAGTCCGAGAGGATGGATAGTGACAGTGTTCGTTCTAGTACGAGAAAATCATGAACCAGGGGTTCAGCACGATCTAGAGATACGCTGGTGAGCTTTACTGCTAACAACAGCAACAGGGAGTAGAAGCATACCGGGAATAAGATGTGACAGCCGGCCGTGATCGCAAGCGGGAGGATAACGGCCCAGTCGAAGCCGAACACTTGCCAGGCCGCGGGAATGATGTTTGTAGAGAGGACGACCATGGCAGCGCATAGGGAAAAGCAGATCACGAAGGCGATCCAAAAGCGCTTCAAGATCTTGGGCACCTCCAGCCAGAAGTTGGAGCGCTCTACCTCCTTCTTTGTCGCACCCCAGTTGATATTATACGAGAACATGTGGGCGAGCAGCGCTTGGGAGAGGTGAATGCTCAGGCCGCCGAAGAAGAAGAAGCTGCACCGGGCATTAGCAAGGAGATTAACAACAGAAAGGAGACGCACAAGAAAGGAACCCAGGTGACGTTCTCGATGAGCGAGTCGAGGAGGTTGCGCTGGCCGAGGCGGTACTCGAGCAGTGTGAAGCCGACGTTACCAGCGATGGGGAACACGACCGTGCAAGCAAGCCAGATCTCGAAACTGTGCAGGTAGTAGCCGTCGACCTCGACGCCCCAGCCAAGGAGAAAGTAGTTCATCACCGAGAGGACGGCCGCAGCGGCAAGACCGTCTGAAAACCTAACATTAGACATTATTAAGGAAAAAGACGGAAAAGGACGAACAGTAGGAGAACATGTAGGCCATCATGCTGATCTTGTAGTGAACCGGAGCAGAGGACCACAAGAAGATGCGAAGTTGCTTGGTGATGGGGCCCTTGCGCCACCAATGGATCATCGGGTGGAAGATGAGCTCGTTACAACCTGAAACCTCGCGTGAGAAACAGTCCAGATTCTGCGCACTGAATCCCTTACCGTACGCGTATTTCTGCCAGCGATTGAGCTCGTCGTCGCAAGTCAGCGAGACGCCCTCCTTGAAGCCGCCTTCAGAGTATGTCGCCCAGCGGATGATGTAGCCTTTAAGCTGCAGACGGAGCGCCATGTCAAAGTCCTCGGACACGTTTGTCTCGGACCAAATCTTCTTGACACCATCTGCCGGATCGACGAACGCCGCGTCCTGGAGCGCCGACCAGCGCAGGAACGCGTTGTGCCCGACGAACGGCGCGACCTCGCCATTGGCGGTGCCGAGGGAGATGCACCTGTTGATGCGACGCGTGAAGTGCGCGATGCCGTTCTCGAAGTAGTGGTGCGCGACCTGCATGACGTCCGACTCGTGCTGGATGATCGCGACCTCGGGACACTCGGCGAGCTCGCGCGCCGCGTCGCGGAAGCAGTCATCGGGCACGAGCGTGTCCGAGTCGACGATGAGGATGATCTCACCGAGGCGGATGCTCTTCCCGTTGCTCGCCCACGGCCGCCACCGCCGCCCGCTGTCGTTGTACGTCTCCTCGATGGCCATCTGCAGTGCGCGCTCCTCGATGTCGTCATCCTCGTCGACCTCCTCACCGTGCGACGCAGCCTCGGCAATGAGCGCAGCCATGTGCTTCTCGAGCTTGAGCGACAGCGCGAGGCCGAAGTTCATGTTCGACGCCTTCTTGAAACGGCCCGCGCGCTTAAAGCCATCCGGCTCACCGCTGTGTGGCGGACGTGCGACCCAGCCGATATTGTTGTCAGTGTAGAACGCAATGCGCTCCGAACGATCCTCCTCAGATATAAGCTGCATGCCGTCGTCGTGGACGAAGATGGAGGACGTCCCACCCTGGCGGGCGTACGACTGCATGGCTTTCTTCAGGGAATAGACGGACGGGGCGCTGAACAAGATTCGTTAAGGATGTGCACATGCAATCCCCGGAATGGTGCTCACATGGTCTCCTTCAGGCTCTCCTTGTACACGGGCATTTCAATTGACACGTGGGGAAGATTGGCATCAATTTCCTTGATCGGTGCAGGTGGGACGGCGGAGTAATATTTCGAGTTCTGATGGTACTGGGCCACGGGACCGATACTGTTCAATAAAAGGTTAAGCTCGAACAAACATGAGCCTCGGTCCCGGACTCACATCATCGACAGATTGCCAACAATCTGTGTACAAAAGAACTGGGGACGATATGAGTATAAGCAGTAATGGGCAGCACCGGGTAGAATGGGCTCACCAAGGAGACACAAAACAGGAATGGGGAGGTGACAAGCAGCGCAAAACGAGTGAAATTTTCATCGAGGGTGCTCTCAACGATAAGAACACTGATACCGCTGCCAATGAAGACTGTCCAGCCTGTCAGCCCACGGAAGGACCCGCCTTAGGAGCCACTCACAAAGGGCAAGGGCGACAGCAAATCCACCATACACCGGAGCAAACATCCGCATTGGACGACTCGACGGGCCCTCCGCGCTCTTTTCGACATCTTGCTTATTTGAGACGAAGTAGCTGAAGATGCCGCCGAACGTGTGTTTGGCCGTCGTGCGGCTGTCCTTGCCGCTCTGCTCCTTCTCCTTCGCGAGAGTCTCGATCTCCTTCTCGTCGACGATCGCCTTCAGGTTCTGCTCCGAGCTAACGGGCGACGTGTCGATCTCCGAACCGAGCGAGCCGAACATCGACATGCGCTGACTCCAGACGAGCTTGATCAGCTTGTCCTCGAAGTCGCGGCATGTTGGGATGATGTCGTCGAGATTGTAGGACCAGATGACGAGCACGCGCTCGTCACGCTGTGCATACTCATCAGCGACTGTGACAAAGTATCATCAACGACAGAACGTACGATGAACGCGCCGCACTGTTCCTTGTCTGCCCGCGGCAGCCATGTCATGTTGTCCAGGACCTGGATGCGGGTGTCTCCATCCAGGTAGATGGCATCCGAATCGTCCTTGCTGTGCATGATGATCAGTTCATCTGTGTACTCTGCACTACTTTAGGACGAGCACTCACACACTGGCGAGGGCGGCGTGGATGGCGGCGCTACGGGTCTTGACAGCGACGACGGGGTTGAGGGCGCGGACCGCAGCCTCAAAAGGCTCGAGGTAGCGGTTCTCGTACGGGAACACGCGAAACCTGTTTGTGTCCACTCGCAGACAGACACCTACATGGATATTCTCCTCGGAGGGCTTGAACCAAGCGTCCCCTTGGGTCTGTGCGACGACTATCAGCGCAGTGTCCTCGACGGCGACCTAGACAATAGTCCGTACCTGCCTGAAGATATGATGCAGAAGTGCGTCGAAGGCGTCGTAGTCCATCCTGGTATCAAATAAGGAGTGTAATGGAGGACAAAGGAGCTCCACGGGCAGGCTCTGTGAGGGGCCTGGGGAGGTGCAACGCGCGAGCACACGCCCCTTATACCACTCCGTTCAGTGCTTATCCTCTTGAACTACAATATCAACAGCGTGAGTATCAAGGAACACGTTCCTAAATCGTAAGATCATCAGAACGTCAAGACAACGTTGTTCCGCCGGGAACGCTATGGCATGGGAGCAATTCCACAGCCAGGTAGCGGCACATTACGGCACAGCGCTGGGCAGCTCGGTGACACCTCATGTGCGTGCCGAAGAGGGACAAACACACCTTATCGTTTCAAGTCCGTCTAACGCTCTCGTATATGGGCATGCTTCCTGGGCGCGAAGCAGACTCTACCAGGCCTGGACCACCAGGGCAAGATATATCGCTGACGACGCTCGCGCCGAGGCAAGTGTGTGTTCAGATAAGCCGAGTCATCTCCGAGACACGATGCCCCAGCATGTTCAGGAGATTTATCAGCAATGGAAGGTGCTGCAGCTTGGTAAACACGGCTCTCCATTGTACTCCATTATTATCGATGGCAGGCCTGCTCTTCTTGTCCCTGAAGTCCCTGAAGAGATACAGGTGCTTCGTGGCCGTTATCAAGTATCGGCGGGCTTATGGCCACTGCTACTGTGCCAAGGTGAAGTACACTTGTGCCCTAGATCCCAAGAACTGTGAGGAGAAGGTTTGCCCGGCATAGAAGAAGGCATGCTGTGGGTTTTCTTTTCTCATTAAGGAGGCTACCCTTCTTCATGATGGTCTTGATAGATTAGATGCCAGCAGCGCAGCTCCACCGTGAGCGAACTACGTACAAGCTGTATGAGTGGTTCGAGAGTCTATGTGTGATTTGCATAAGCTTAGACTTATGTTAGGCTTTTCTCGGAAATAACATCGGGGGCAATTGCAAGGGGTCGTGAAGATGTCGAAGTCAGGAACTAGTCAGGAGTGGGAACTTGATGACGGGTCCAAATCCGCGGTTCCTGCCGGATCCGCATCAGACCCTTTGTGGCGCTCTACAAATTCGCTGTGGGTGCCGATACACGCTGTCGCGAGCCCAGGCGTGGCCATGAACGGGCTCCCACGTCCAGGAATAAATGCAGCAAGTGCACCGTGTCAAACCGCATGCACCCAGGGGTGCGAGCAACCAGAACGTCATTATGAAACCTACAGCTTGTGAAGGAACTGAAGCACTGGTTGAACAGCTCACCAAAGCCCGGACACCTCGCCTCGAAGGTTTCAGAGGCTGTGTAGCGGAGTTTAACATGACACTTCTGTTGCTTCATGCATGGCAGGTGTCGCCAATAATGCCTTGTACAGTGGAGGAAAGTTGTACCCGACATGGCATACGTATGGCTCGAATGGAAATGCCTGCGACTGATCCACATGGTGCTTGTAAGACGCACGACGGAGACGTCAGAGGGGGGCTTTTCCATCTCTTCCAGGCAACTGGGCAAAATCTTTTACCCACGTACAACATACACAGTGAGCGTCACCACTCGCTGTAAATTCTGCAAAGTTCTCCTATATAGGATGGACGTCCCTGAACATAACCAGCGGACAACTTGTGAGTAACAAAGGTGAGCAAGCGATATCGAGAGGTGTGATTGAGAGCACACCATCGTGAGTCATGCGGGCACTGCTGCGGCTTTCGGTATGGTTCCAACTCTGTGCTTCGCTATGACTCTCTAGAGCCACGGAACTTAGAAGGCAAGATCCATCGCTTTGAGTGACTCTAACTCTGGAGCGAGACGGCGACAGAAGATAACGGCGGCGCTGAGTCAACTTCGGATCAAAGGAGCGCATCACAGTCAAATGATAACATTTGATGCGCCGATTACCGCTTCAGCTCTCGCGCGCTCTTCTGAGACCCTCTTGACCACGGCAACGACGGGATGATGCTGCCGACACCTGTCTCATACCACACCAAGCGCGACTCAATCTCTCGATCTAAGCGACCGCTACGAGACGTCCTGCTTGCTCGTGCCCGAGTCACCAATCTCGGTCTCTGCATCC